GGGCTCAGGTGGCTGACTGACAGCTGTCCGTCTGGATAAAACAGAGCAGGACACACACTGTACTGCAAGTCACCATCACTTCTGTCCTAACACCTTTGATACTGCCACCCCCCTTTGGTTTGTTTTCTCAAAAAAAAGAAAAAAAAAAAAAAAAAAAAAAAAAATATATATATATATATATATATATATATATATATTTGTGTGTGTGTGTGTGTGTAGGTATAGCTTAAACTTTAACTTTTAGCTTGTTGATTTCTTGCAAGAATCATGTTAAAGAAAATAAATTAAAAGATACACTTGTAACACATAAATTGTGTACAAGTTTATCTTAAAATCTTTCCTCTTTTAGGCCAGGATGGATTATCACAATTCTTGCTAAAAGGCAGGGGATTGTTGTTATAAGTTCTTCAAAATTGGAAATTTTGAAGAACTTATAACTTATAAAAATGTGTGGAAACAAGACATCACATAAAAGAATTAGGCCTAAATGGATCTTCCATTTTGACAAAAAACCTTATTGGGGCAACAGAATAATTTACAAAGCGGCTAATAGATGTTAACCTCAATATTTTAGAGAGACAATCACAAACTCCCATAGAAAATTAGTGGGTAGAAGTGAAGTGTGTGTGAGTAAGGCGACTTATAATCTGGACGTAGTTTTTCTAGTTGGGAGGAACGGGCACAAATTACAGAAACTACTGTGAGAAGCTTTTGAAAGCAATTCTACTATTAAGAAAATAATGTAAACTTCTGAAATTGAAGAAAGTTAAAGAAATCTTTAAGCACTTTCACTTTATTCTGATATTTACTTATTATGTATCATTTTGGTATTTCTAACTGAAAACAACAAAATATAGAAAAGTGTAGCACATACATTTTTGTATTGTGTATCCAAATGTCTGGTTTTAACTTTGTAGATGGAGTAAATTTTACCCCATTCACTCCAAGATGATTTAATTACTAGTTTTAATAAAGATGACTTTGACTCAAACGCTTGAAAAATAGTCAGCCACGGGAAAGGAAAATTCAGTCACGAGGGTCCAGAACAAGCCAGTGGCTGATGAAGACAAATGTGTAAACACATGTCGGCAGAATTGCTTTTTGGTTGAGCGTGAATCGGCCACACTCAGGAGGGCAGAAAGATGGAGTTGTGATTTATAGTTTTGTGCTGTCCCCGGACCACCACTGTCTGCTGCCTCCCACCACTGTAATTACAACCTGTGTCTATTAGAATAGTCCTGCTGCCCACAAACGCATCAGCTCAGCTGAGAGGATGGGAGGGGAAGAACCGCCTCCCCTTAAGAAACCGTTGGTATTCAAACTGCGTTCTCGCCAAAAACAACAGGAGTGCAGAAAGAACGCAGATGATTAGACAAAGGTCAAAAAGAAACATGCAGAAAGGCTCGGCGCACTTAAAACATGCATTTTAAGATCCAAACCTCCAGTTACAGCTGGTGATGCATGTAAATGTATTCAGGGGAAGCATGTCTCATAAAAATCATTTGAGAATATAAATGTTCATTCAGTTAGGTTCATTCGATTATCCCACTGATCTGAAAAACAAAGAGATTGTCAGTTGTGTAGTTTATCTCCATTTTAAACCATATCAGTCAATCTTGAGTTTTGGGAGGTTTTTTGTTGTTTTTTTTTGTTTGTTTTTTTGAAGGAAGATTCTCTTGTAAATCTCTCACACTTGTTTCACATTACATATCTCACATTTCTGCATTCACTCCTAGAATGCTATTCGGATACATCTGCTGAAATGAACTTTAACTGGGACATCACAGCATCTCCTAGTGGAGGAATGCAGAGCTGTTTTTAGGTCTCTTGGAAAACGCTCTAACATGAGTCAATCCATTAAAGTCTCTCACATACAGTGCACCGCACATTTATTAACCCTTCTGGTGAAGATATGCAAATCAATCCTATAAACACATACATGATGAGTGAAATTTAGAAAAAAATCAGTCTTTGCAATGAAGAGGACAGTCTCATGGAAGGAGTAAAATATTTTTGTGTGTGCAAAATTACAGGTGACACATGTATTGACACTTTTAACAATTCTTTAGAATTTAGTAAATTATAGATTTTTTTTGTTTGATCAGGGTTTTTTTTATCTACTTATCCATTATAACATAAAATGGTCTCCTGTTCTCTTCTGGTCACCAGCTTGAATGAGGATCCATGTTTATTTTGTCATTTTGCGCTTGACAATATGACAATGGTAGGAGGACTAAAAAAACAAAACACACAAAAAAAAAACACCATACTTTCCTGCCACAGGACTGCTGCAAACACTGACATTTGGATCACTGGTGGGGCTGCACATTCTCAATAAGATACTTTTCTGGAACTGGAAGAACAGAAATCATTCTTGCTCTGATTTAAGATTTCTTGTAGGTTGTTTTTGAGACATAACTCAAAGATTTTATTTTTATTTTTTCCTTTTTGTGATGTCAGACAAACATTGTGGCAGACAGATGTTGGCAAACAAATTAGTCAGTTTAGCTTTGTTGCAGCCAGACAGCCCTATGAGGACAAAGCAGGAGTATATTAGTACTCAAATTCTTGCTTCATTTTTCTTTTACATTACAGTGTGATATTGTACTACCATAATAAAAACTAAGTCTATTTTAAGGTTGTTGACATATTTTTCTGAGGTGAGTGACCTCTGTATGTTTCACAGAATTGCTTTATGCCTCACTTCTTGCTGCTATAAAACAGAGTTGTCACACAGTTCACAGTGAAAAGCTTGACCAGCCTAAACATCTATATTGTTGAGTTAACTTTGCAATAATACTTTTTTTCCAAATGGCCTCTTTCTTTTCTCTCTCCCTTATAAAGTGCAGGATTGTTCTCCCTTTAAAAAGGGACTGATCACCTTTTACGTTTTTCCCTGGAACTCAACTGATAATGAGAGCTGGCGGTGAGCTCTGGTCACTGTCATTCATGCTGTAATTGGCCTGAAGGTGCAAAGGGCAGTCCTGCATCAAAGAGCACCAAGAACTAAGTGGCTTGCAGGGACAGAGATAAAAGAATACAACGCAAAGGAGGACTCTTAAACTTCTTCACTTGAGACACTGTTTAAATGCAACTAACTGTTCAATAAGCAATATATTTGGGGGTCAGAGCAACAATTGGTCAAGTGAAACTAAAAAAAGTAGAAACATGGACATTTAAACCAAAGTTATAATTCTTTAAATCTTGCTGTGTTCATTACATTCTTATACCACAGCATGTATCTTTTAGATTAGTCAAACAGTGTTAAAATAAATCTGTATCTCATGTCTCCATATGCCTTCTTTTAAATAATCTTTTTTAATGATAACAAACCCAGAAGCTGAGTTGCCCTTTATGCAAGTCGACTGATGAAGGCCCACTCACCAGGGAGATAGCAAAATGGGTTACAGTGTCTGAATACATTCATGTCTATGTGAATAATTAAGTTTACTTTTTTAAACTGTATGATTTTCTTTTTACATATGTAATTTCCAATTAGTGAAAAATGTGTTTAACTCTGAAAATAAGTCTTTTCTGTCGCACGTGTCTTTTTAGATGTGTAAGACTGAAAAGGTACACACCTAATATAAAAGTCTATCTGAGAAGTTTGTTGTCTTACTGAAGGTGGCGTAAAAACAAAAATTCAAAACAATGCAAAAAAAAAAAAAAAGAAAAGTTAATCAGGGTGGAATAAGTCAACCACCGAAAAAACAAAACTACGGCAGGACAAACCATATATCTGAAAATAACATGAATTGTTTTTAGTCTGATCATTTGTATTCAACCACCTTCTCCTCTTTTTACTTGCACAAATTGCTCTTGTCTTGCTTGAAGCAAACAAATTTAGCAAACCTGTTTGAAATTTAATACGATTCTTCATGACCCAATACACTAACGTCATCCAACAGAACGGACTCTGTTGTGAGGTTGGATTCAGGGTCTTGCAAATGCCTGCACTTACAGAAAAAAGATGGCAGGGAGATGTTTGCACTGATATCATAGCTCATTAGTGTAATAACCATGCTCTCGTCTGATCTATGTGACCACAGACTCGAGTGGTTAAGGCTGAATTTGTAACTTATTGATTCCTACGGCTTATTAAAGGCATGAGTATCTTGCTGTACAGGAACATGAGAAGGCAGGATTACAAGGAAATAGGAGTATTGATCAGATCAAGAAGTAGGGGCTTACATTTCAAATTTCTAAAAAGAGCCAAGATTGAAGGGAAAGAGCAATGTTTTCTCTGAGATATAGGGAAATATTCTGATAGGTCACACATTGATACATGCTACAAAAGGCATTTATCATTGCTGTCAATAAAGCACATTATTCAGATGAGTATGAAGGCTCACAAAATTTTTGTTATTGTTATTGCTCACAAAATTAATACTTTTGTATTTATTTCACTGCTTTTCTTGGTCCTGGTTCAAGAAATAACCCATCCAGCAGCCAATAACTGTAAACTCCACAAAAACCTGTCAGTGCAACAAATGTAACCCTTCAAATTAGGAGTAATTAATGGCTGATTTTATTTTTTTCAAGGAAAGTAAGACAGTTATACCTCCAGTTCAGATTGTTGTAAGACTTTCTTCTAAAGCAGTGATTAAGCATCCAAGTCTGAATTCGATATAATCTGTTAGGTAGTTTATGATTAATCACTTTCAATTTGGTTTAATATTACTTGGTATCACTTATTAAAATCCACACTTTTAGTTTGTACTTGTGCAGTTTTAAAGATGGCTTGTAGAGGTACACAAGATGCTTCATTTTATGCCATAACTACTCATCATAATTCAGTGCTCCTGTCCCTAACTCATTCAATCTCAGGCTTTGTCAAACAACAACAAAATGGCTGCTGGAACGTCAAGTAAATATGTATTTCAAAAAGTGTTTAATTCCTGATTCATTGTCTAATTGCAGTTGCAGGGGTTTTCCGGTAGGTGGCGCCGTTGTTTCTCGTTCGATCTTGTTTTGGACGTCATCTGTGACGTAACCAGGAAGAGAAACGTCACTTTAGCCGTACCCTTCTCAACCTGCAGGAAGCTTAAAAGCCTAAAACAAACAAACCGCTTCAACAGCGCTCAAAGCGTAAGTTAAAGGACAGAGGTCGCTTTAGTCGCTTTTAATAGCCGATACTTTACCTTGTTATGTAGCTGCTACGCCTTTTAACAAAAGTCTTGTTCGCTTATTGTCGCAGGGTCTCGACGGTCATCGTTCAGCAGGCTTGCAAATAGGTGTTTTTTTTTTTTGTTGTTGTTGTGGAGAATGTCGTCTTGCCGAACAGGATCGTGGATGTTTGCTGCTGTCGCAGTGACAGTATTTCTATTGGATAATGTTATTTTTGCTGAAGCTAAGGTAACAACAAACAAATAAACATAAAACAACATCAGGGTGATACTGGGTTGTGATGCAGCAGAAGAGTGGATGCAGCCTAAGTAATATGAAGAAATGCTTAGTTATCGTGTCAGATTCTGGACAAAACGTTTATAAACACGAACTTTTATGGAACGTAGTTTTTATAACACATCGCTCTAGTTATAATTATCTTATTTTACCTTAAGTTTATTTTATAACGTTTTATTATCCTATTAATAACTTGCATGCTCTTAAAATCTTTGGAGGGGGTAACTAGAAAACAACATGAACATGACAAGTAATTTAGGTTGAGGTCCTGAGAGTGCATCTTAAACAACAAACATGAACCTCACTGCAACAGGAAAGTCAATTCAATTTATTTGTTAGGATTTTTCACGTTGTTGTTCTGTGATAGAGATTTCTTAATAGCAGAGGAATAATAGTGACATAGAGTGCCGTTAAAAGTGTCAATAAACTAGAAGTTCAACCCTGACCCATGTTTTCCTTGCTTTCTGCAGAATTTTGAGGATGTCCGCTGCAAATGCATCTGTCCGCCTTACAGGAACATCTCTGGGAATATCTATAACATAAATGTCACCCAGAAAGATTGGTGAGAGGAGCCTTTTACTTATTTGAATTGGAAATACACGAAGACCAATAAGTCAATTGTCGGTGAAGATTTCTTGTAGCAGATTCTTGTCAAGTCTAAGGAGTAAAAAAATCAATATTTCTTGAAATAATGTGTGCCTTTTACTCTGCCACAAATAGTTCTATTTAGTTTTATTCGTGATAGAATAAAAGGTGATTGGTAACTTTGCAATTTAATTGATTTTATATTCAGAATTTGTACATGTAATATATATTTGTTTTATTTTGAATTTGTGAATATGTTGCCAGCTTTTCAAAATGTAATAAATTTGCAGCAACTGCCTCCATGTTGTGGATCCCATGCCGGTTCCTGGCCATGATGTGGAAGCCTACTGTCTGCTGTGTGAGTGCAAGTATGAGGAGCGAAGCAGCAACACCATAAAGGTACAGAGTGGATTTATTCCAGATCTGTTCCAGTCTTCAATATGACAAAGATCAATGGCATGATTATTCTTACAGTTCTTATGAAAGAAGAAGATTTTTTTTGTCTTTTTAGTAAAAAGACTTAACATATAATAAATGGATTGAAGTATTAATGTTTAGTATGAAGTTTTTATGTTAGTTGGTTCTCAGATTGGAGGTTTTCTTAGATTGGATCTCGCTCATACAATATTCCCCAGGTGACCATCATCATCTACCTGTCAGTCGTTGGGGCTCTGCTTCTCTATATGCTGTTTCTGCTGCTGGTTGATCCTCTGATCCGCAAACACGACCCCTACACTCAGCCTCTGCACAACGAGGAAGACTCCGAGGTAACAAGCAGCACACATAAAGAAAATCATTGCGTTTCATGGGTAATGTGAAGCTTTGGACTTACAAATAGTGCTTCTTTTCAATGTGTCTCTGCTTGTGTGTGTGTGTGTGCATCTTCAGGAGATGCGTCCTCGTGCAGACGCCGGGCTGGCCAGAGGAAACACGGTGCTGGAGCGGGTCGAGGGGGCACAGCAGCGCTGGAAGAAGCAGGTGCAGGAACAACGGAAGACAGTTTTTGACCGCCACAAGCTGCTGAGTTAAAACCTCACTGCTGAACTTCAGCCGTCCTCGGCGTGACAAATCGCTCCAGGCTCAGTACTATTCCACCCTCACCAGCTGCACTATTTCAAAGCTAGCTTTCATTGATGTGCAACGCAATGACTGTATAACTTAAAAACTTCAGACATGTTTATCTAACAAGCAGATGGGTTGTAATCTTGCATATCTCGTGATCTGAACACTGTGATACGAGTTAAAATGCAGCTGTGAAAAAAAACATGCTTTGCACATTCTTAAGAGTAAATATATTCTCGGTCATTTTAAACTGCAGCAAAGCATGAAGTTTTGAATGTCTTTCGAAAATAAGTGTTTTAGTGATCGATGTGATGAGTTTTCTGCCCGTAGTTTTCTTGTTGCATGAGTTTTAAAAGTTATCTCACAAAAAAAAGCTCATGGAGTTGGTTATAATCACAGTGCTGCGATGATTGCCAAATAGTCCTTATTTCTGATTTGGGATTTGTAATTTATTGGTCTGCTGCACTTGAGCATGTTCAGATTTAATTTTGAGTTTTGTAACTTATTGGTGTTTTTTAACCTCAAGCTGTGCCTTTTTTCTTAATCTCTCTCACTTCGGGAAAATGGATTTTGTGAAATCAAAACAAAGATTTGTTTTTTAAATATTGGCCGATCATCACTTTCTGGATGTAGCTGAGGGCAGTCAGCCAAGTGATGCTTTAAATTAGAAGCTTGGAATTGTATGAAGACATTGTTAAAGTTGCCATTTACAACACAAGCATTCATAAATGCATTAAGGGTAAGCTCATAACAATTAGCCTTTCAATGAAGCTTTAAACAGATAAGGAATTTGAAAACACATTTTTCTTACACAGAGCCTTCAGAGCCACGCCTCTCTAGAACAAGCTGAGCTCAAACACAAAGAAAAGATTCATTTTGTCCCTTTAGATATATTAACATTTGTGCTTTTAAAAGACCCTCAAATCTTAAATGTATATGATGAGCAATTTTAGTCTGTGGTCTGTGCTGAATCATTTACGGGAGGGATCTCACAGTTTGAGGACCGAAAGCAACGGCTTAATTTGCTGACTCTACCAGTGATGACAGTGGTTGTGACAGGAGAGCAAATGTTTCAGGTGAGAAAACATTCTTCTCACTCACATTCTGTATTTTGTGTCCTCCAGGACAGAGGACATGTTCATGGATGATATTGTGAAATAAATATCAGGGTAGCACTCAACCACCCCGGGTAGAGTGCTAGCCTTTCAGATCTCTAAGCTGCTGCTTTTGTTTTTGCCATTAATGCTCAAGTGTAATCCACATACGTAACATAATCCAGCATAACCAGCGATCGATATTGTGTTCAGCTGTTTTGTGCTAAGTTTCTTGATTTTATGTATCTTAATTTTTTTAGATGGAAATTAAGATGACTGCCACGAGCAACACATTCCAAACACAACTGAGAAAGAAAATTACATAAAAATGGTGACATATACCATTTATAAAGGTCTAATTACTCCAGACGTTAGTGTAGTGGAGCAAAATTCACTTCCTTTAAGGGAAGATGAAATTGAGACCTTGAACCTTCATTGGAGAATGTTTGAAAACTGTCACCAAAGAGCTGATTGGTGCGGCAGAATCAGGACGCCTCGTGGTTATGAAAAGAGGATTTGTGCTTGTGTGCCAAAGTTTCTCACTGGAGGATTTTTTTTATTTGTCAAAGTAAGGCTCATTTTCTCACAAAACTTTATTTAGTTCAACCTGCTGATGTTTTGTTATTTGTACTCATTTAGTTTTATTAATAATTGTTAATGTAGTTAATTTAAATATATTTTGTCATAACGCTGCTGTTGTTGCTTTTTATTTATTAATAGAAAAGGTTGTAATGATTTAGTGTTATTGTGAGGCAATCCACAGAAAATATGTTTTGTGCTGTTCAACAATTACTGTAGAAACATCGCAACAATTTTCACTGTCAAATTTCACTTTACATATGTAGTAACTACTGATGTGTTGAAAAAATTTCCTCTATTTCAAAAATGTTTTACAAAATAATGCTAAGGTATATTAAAGTTGTATGGGTGGCACATGGTGACAAAATGCACAATTCACTTTTGTTTTATTTTTTCCTTTTAATTTCTTTTTACGTTTCTATAATATTATCTCTACCCTCATGCGATCATTGATCCCGGTGTCTTCACATTTAGCAACTGCAAGTTCAATAAAGGAAAAAAATAATTCTCTTAACATATTGTGACGTTGATTTATTTCACTTTAGGGTTACATTTATTTATGAGCAGCAGGGGGCGACAAAGTACACTATAAATAAACTGGGGGGAAATTAATTAAGATCTCAAATTAGCTTTAAGAAAATTCTCAGATTATATGAGATTTTATACAGCTACGCTGTTCCTGATGAAAAACTGCTTTTATTCAACATTATAATTTTCAGGATCCGTATAACATTTACTGCATAAAAAGTTATTTAAACTTGATAGGCTGTCACTAACCTCTGATCCTGTGAAAAGTACATTTAAAATTAAAGAATCCAATTTAAGCATCCCACATAATCCATTTTATTTATAAAGCCGTGAAACTAGAATGAAATACTGTTCATGCAGCATCATATGTAGACATTGAATTTTTTTTCTGAATATTTGCAATGACATTATGCTGTACATATGAAATAAAATGGGAGTGGTAGAATCATGTTTTATCGAAGAGACGGATAGAGGTTAAGAAAAGGTCTTGAAGAAATCCTGATAGAGGTTTTAAAATAATTAGGACAATGACTAGAATCATTTAGTTGGAGCTATGTTGAAATAGTTTATATTAAAGCGTATTAGACTGACCATGACTGACCATCATTTTCATTTGACTTCACAATTAGCATCACTTGGGATTATCACACAAATTAGAAACAAAAATTGTTTGTTTTTGCAACATGGGGCTAAATTGGTACTTATCCAAGGATTGTAATTAGCTGTATTGCACATCTAAAGTATTCATGTTGAAGAAGCTCTGTGCTTAGTTACAATGACAACTCTTGTCACGCCAAAGTAATTTCATGCATCTTAACGTTTCACTTTAGAAAATGTTCCACCTGCAGAAGTATGCACGTCATTAAAAACACGTTGGGCGACTTTCACATTATTTGGCCGCTTTGTTTTTATTTTTGTTTTACAGTGCAGTTTCAGGCTAAGTTGCTGCAGCTTCTTCTCCTGCTCGTATTGCTTTCTCACATCATTCACATTCGCCCTGCCCCTTCTACTCCTGTCCTCCCCTTCCGACCCTCCCAACCATCCCCAAGCATGGCCTGCCAGTGCTTTACAGTCTAAATTTAAACATGCTGCAGGGCCAACTGCTCCTCCAGCCACTCTGGGCCTCTTTTATTTTTCTCCACAGAGGTGAGCTTTTTTTGTCCGGGGCCCTCGGCTTGGAGGAGAAGTCTGTGGCTCTGAGACGGAGTTAGAGGGGAGAGAAGAGGGCGGCAGCGGCGAGGGGGGGAAACCCGCGCACATGAAAGGCTACTCTGGAGGCCTTCACTGAGGAAGATCTGCACTGAACCAGAGTTTGGGATTTTACATCAACCACTGATTTTATTTCAGTGGATTTTGTGGAAAGGTCGTGTAAGGCGAAGGTGTCAGGATGGCGACCAACGCGGATTCGGCCAAGCCGGTCATCATGAACGAGGAGGAATTGAAGAAGAAGCAGAGAGAGAAACTGAAGCGGCTTCAGGCCACAGGTGGCAACCCTCGACCTGCCAGGACCCTCTTCCTCTTTTCCCTCAGGAACCCTTTCCGAAAGGCCTGCATCAACATTGTGGAGTGGAAGTATCCTTTATAGACTGAAATATAAAGCTCTAGACACATTCATTAAGTTATGCAGTTATCACGTCACATTTCCACCAGGGAATTGAATCAAGTTGCCTGTAATCAGGTGATCACCACATTATGAAGACTCCTGTATCGACTGTGGTTCAATATTTATGAGCCTCTGATTTTCAGTTGGAGCCAGTTCATCCCAATCTGTCCCCATCTGGCACGTAAAAGCAATCAGCTTCCTAATTAATGAGTTAATTAATTAGCTGAATGCCTTCAATTCTGCTGGTTCATGTGGAAAAATTACTGAAATACAGGAAGTCTGGTGAGATTTGGGAAACAAACGCAGGCTGCTGACTGACAGGATGATGATTTATAACTCCTGTCGAGAATTTTCTGCATTCAGTTTTGATTTTATACATTTTTATTCAGAATAACAGCAAAATATCATTGTTTATGTGATGGCAGTACTGGTTTTATGGCAGAAGATATTTATTTTACACCAGAATAAAAATATCTAAGAATATCACACCAGAACAGAAATGTGGGCTTAATTATTAGTACGTTAAATACTTGCTTAAAAGTAACCATATTCTGGTTTGTCGAACATGACTATAGTTTATGGTCGGCTGTTTACTGTTGAATGTTAACGGGACAGATTCTATAAAAGAGGCAAATTAATCACAACAAAACATTTGTTTTTTATATACATTGACTTGTGTAGAAATAAACGTCTCACAGTTTGGCTGAAAACATTTTCCCCTGACGAACAGGCCCCGGTTTAAATGGCCTGTCATATTCTTGGGCTCTGCAGCTGTTCCTCCACATCACAGAAAGACATGATGCTGACCTGGCAGGGGAATTTTGTCGTAGCGCCCCCTATGGATGAGAATGAAGCATCACACCAGACAGGATTACGTTCACTCCCAACAGCTAAGCCAAGAGAGGATTTAAGACCAGAGATCACTGGCTTTCATCTGTTTGATATGCTCTCTAACACTATGTAGATGTATCACAAAAACCAGAGCACTACTCACACATAAAGAAAGTTATTTTTGAACTCATGCCTTGTTATGATCTTGAGCCTTCCTCACCCAGAACCTTTGAAATCATCATCCTGTTAACCATCTTTGCCAACTGTGTGGCTCTGGCTGTATTCTTACCCATGCCTGAAGAAGACAGCAACAACACCAACGAGAACTTGGTAAGCAGAACAAAAGAACTTATAAACGAGGAACAAGCCAGGGACATTCGCCAGCATTTTAGTTATTCTTAGACCTGCCAAGTCAATGACTTTGTTGCCCGATAAAGCAGATTGCTATAGTTGTACGCTGATTTGCTGGACAGTATGATGCTAAATGACTAAGGGCTTCAGCTGCTCTTTGGTGTGAGAGCCAAACCCCATTTCTAATGCTAACAGATACAACTCCGTTCTTTATTTGGAGTCCCATCTGCGGTTGTCCAGGGTCAATGGACAAAAGTGCTCTTTGTTCATCCTTGCATGATCTTATTATTTGTATTTCTGATCATTAGCTTGTGAAGCAGCCAGTGCAAAAGCACACCAAGAAATATGATGAGCAGAAACCACATATTTTGACAGTTTACAAGAATAAAGTGTACATGTTTTCAATGCACCCTAGATCAAAAGACTGTTTTTCAGTCTTTAGCACTAGGTAATCATAAAAAAACGGCATAAAAAAATGATATACACTCATGACTATAGAGCATAGTTTGGAAAAGATAATCTGGGAAAATATTGAGCTGCTCTGTGCCCACCTTAGTGATTGACAGTTGTCTTAGCACTGTCAATCAAACTCAGGTACACGCTGCTCAAACCCGCCTCCTGGCTCTGTCCTAGGCAAGCCTTACTTCCCCACAGTGGAGCCTGCAGGGAATGTAGTTAGATGACGGCAGATGAACAGTTTTCCTGTAATGGGAATTTTAAGTTATTTCTCTGCCATTAGCGAATTGAGCAGCATATACAGAAGTATGATTTACAGCGAAAAAACTTTCCCCTTGGCTGTGATTGGTTGTTTCTGAGTAAGTGGTGTATTTCTGCAAATGGCAATTGGACCACAGGATAGAGGCAGATGAGCAAATTTTTTTTCACAGATTATCTCATGTTAATATGTAAAAAAAAAAGTTTGATATATATGTGTGTGTGCGTGGGTGTGTGTGTGTGTGTGTGTATGTTTGTGTGCGTGCGTGTGTGTGTGTGTGCGTGTGTGTGTGTGGGTGTGTGTGTGTGTGTGCGTGGGTGTGTGTGTGTGTGTGTGTGTATGTTTGTGTGCGTGCGTGCGTGTGTGTGTGGGGGGTGTGTGTGTGTGCGTGTGTGTGTGTGGGGGTGTGTGTGTGTGTGCTTATATGAAGTAGATGGCACCTGCCTTGCTACATTAAATGAATATATTCTTCACAAACACGTCTTAATCATTTCACCTATTTTTATCCAGTTTGTTGTTACATTCAGTCAGATTCAAGCATTTTTATCCAGAGTTTTTATCCAGGCAGAGTGACTTCTTAGCTACTTACACAGAAGCAAATCTCATTTAAAAGAGGCAAGATTCACTTCTGGATGCGTTTGCCTGGCAGTGGTTCATATTTGCTGTGACCTTCCTCCTGCCAAAGCTTTCCCACTCCTCACTGTCATTCTTTAGACGGGAGAAAAGTAAGAGGATATGATTCACTCCCCCTGCTGCTTTCAGAAGTAGGTCGAGTGAGATCGAGTCCAGAAATGTTTTCTCACGTAACCCAACACAGAAACACTAAAATGTCGCAGCACTGAAACAAACGCAGGCGTTCAGCTGACCACGTTTAGAAAATGTACTGAAAGCTTAGGAATTCGGCACAAGAATGTTGCTAAATGTTTTGTTTCTGCCGAGTCGCTGATGCTGATGCCTGAATCTGACTGAATGTAACAACAAACTATGGAGGATTTACAGCACAAATCAAGTATATCCTTGATTTATGATGCCTGATTTGCTTTTTCATGAAGTCATGATACTTTAGGAAAACCAAGCTGCTCTGTTCTGTCTATGTCATAATTCACCTCCTGCCTTCGGTTCACACCAGTCCACAGTTAAATATTTCTAAGAAACAGAATTTTATTTTAGGGGAAAACGCTGATAAAATCTTAAGACATGACAACAAATACTAGTCTTTTTTGGGTTTTAAGTAATGAGTTTTTGATTTATTGTTTATGTTCTACTAAGAGAACTTGATGTGATAATTGGACCAATTCAAATTGTCTGATTTGTTTGCCTTATTGCAGGAAAGTCTGGAGTACATCTTCCTTATCATCTTCACATTCGAGTGCTTCATGAAGATCATAGCATATGGGCTGGTGTTCCATGAAGGGGCCTATTTAAGGAACTGTTGGAACATATTGGACTTTGTCATCGTTTTCATGGGGTAAGACGAGCTCTGAGC